TTATTGTTTATACATATAAAGTTATTCTGATTACTTAATACGGTAAGTGTTCTATTATTATTAGATTTATATTAATGCATTACTGAATTATTCAATGTTTACTTGTGTTTAATTATAAACATGTATCGGCTATATTTGAAGTTATTATGATTAGTCTTCTATTAATAGCAAATTTATAAAATATTACTGAATAATTAACAGATTAATTATGTTCTATTAACAAAAGTAATATTATCTATTGATATACAGCAGACACTCAACAATAGAATAGCTTGTATTGGCACAGTTCTGTGTGTCTGTAAACACTCTATAGAGGAAATACAAATTTGCATTGAACCTTGAACGGATGAAAAACTTGCCTTTAAAGATATAAATTTTCGACACCCTAATTGTTTGAGCTACCTTAAAGTTAACATGTGCAATCTAAAGTACCGAGTCGTTGTTTAATAATAAGAATTTCCTGTGATTTGTTTAAATAATCTTTTCTAAGAACCTCTTTACCATGTAATATTAATCTACATAAACAATGCTGACAAAAATACTCTGTGATGTTCCTCTAAATATAATGTCCATAAGATTTATTTTTGCTTTCGGTGATCAAAGTTGAAAGTTATGTGTTTAGTTTCGCTATATATCGTGATCGCTATCTGTTGTAATAGTATGTGTACAATACATCAGGCCTGCTTTTATTGAGGTTAGAACTGCAAGTGGAACTTTGGAAGCCTCAGTTGAGTAGGTGTCTGTTGTGTTCATTGAAAGGCCTTATTGTAAGTGACAGAAAGACAAGGCCATGTGCATAGATCTCAGACTTGTGGCTCATCTCTGGATATAATATTTATAATGGCTGAACCACACAATGATTTAGTTAAAGGTATGGCGTTTAACTTTCCTGTTTTTGATAATTTAGTAGTTATAGGCTGTGTTTACTATTTAATACTTGATGAGGACTGTAGCAGCTGTTACAACTATTTTGACAAACAACAGGCAGCAGTCGTACTACAGAATAATTTAATATAGATATTACAGTATTGTTATTAAGTGTGTACTAAGAAATAACCAAAATGTATAGTGTGTAATTAACCATATCTTGTTTTTCATTTGTATTACACCTGGAGACTTGGAATGCATAATACTGTATTCATAATATGTGGCAAAGACAAGCCAAACCAGTCACTCGTCGCAAAAATCGATTTTGAGTTATTAATACAGTGTTAGAGAGTAAAATAATAGCTATAAAATGGTAAAAAAATCATTCAAATCGGAGATTTCCTTATGAAGTTACAAGCGTTTAACCATACAGCTGTTTAAAGAACAATATATGAGAAATTAGCCGTCAACGTTTATGATTTCACGCATTTCTCATGCAGAAACTATCTTTAAATCCTTAAAAAGTATTGTTTTAACATTGAAAATGGGGAAAATAACAGCATAGAATGATGTGTAGATATATAAAGGTTAGTTTAGTGCAATAAAATAGATTTTAAAAACTTTGACATTCCAGCATGTTTTGGCCATTTTCTCTGAAACACGATTTGCGACGAGTGACTGGTTTGGCTTGTCTTTGCCACATATTTACATTGGACTTCATTAAACTTGTGTTACATTGGTATGTTTATTGTACTGTATGCTTTAGGGAGGTCTAATGGTTTTCATTCTTTTCCTGTTTTTATTGTGCAAGCTTTCACTATGAAAATTAAAACGCACAAGAAGGCTGTCAGGCCATATGCATTTCAGTGGTTTGTTGAACCCATTTTGAGCCTATTCCCACACTAGGCATGTCCAAATTTTACTGTCCTCAGGAGCTCAACCTGTGGCTAGGCATGTCCACCCCCACAGCTACTTCCCAAAAACCACTAGATATAGACTAGGTCAAGTTCTCTGACCAACTTTGGCCATATTATTCTACAAAAGGATTTAAGGCGGACATGTCCACTCATTTGGCTCGGCCATGGACTCTATTTTCTTTATTATTCAATTTGTGCCGCTGCCAATGTAACCATTATCGTCGTCATTTTGTATTAACCCAGAAAAACCCTGAAATTTGAAGAAATTTAACGTCAGGCCTCTCAGAATGCGGAAAAGTGCATTACCGGGCCTCAAAGAAACACAAATTCAGCCCCCTCATTAGGTGTAAGTTCTTTACTGTTCTATACTGACTGGTCAGGTGAAGTCGAATTAGTGTTTGACATGTTAATGAACTTATGACCCATTAAACAACTGAAGGCTACTTTACAGTGGAACAGGTACTACCTTCAGTTACCTTGCATGTTGGTAATAGTACTGTATCAAGAACTTTATCACTTAACTGTCATTGATTGTTTACACAGTGTAATTAAGAAGGTTACACACTATGCAAAAAAACTAGAGCTAGGTTCATATGGGATTATAGCCAGATGAAGTAGCTGATCTACTTGCCAAGTTAATTGGATTAAATCCACTAATCGTGTTCGACGATATTTTGACTACCAGAAATTCGGAAAACACATCATTAGACAGGAAGTACAATCGCATGGCGGTAATTACTGTTGATTTTCGCGCGACTAGTTTATGCTAGATCGAGAATATAGGCGTAAGCTAGGCCTAGGTCTCGGCGGTTGATTAGACTGGCC